TTCCACCAATCACTCCTCTTTCCTCCTGCCCCCACCCTCCTATAACCACAAGCTTCTGCCCCACATTCTAATACTGCATTTTTAAAACTATTCCAACCCTCTTCAACCCCCCCATATGCATATACGTATAAAAATACACAATATATCTCTCCAAACTGCCAATATCCCAAACCCCTCCTTTAGAGTGCAGGCATTGTACTTCCCATTTCCAGTACTCAAGTCCAGTTATATAAAATAACCGGTTTCCCTGAATCCCTTCACTAAATATTACCCTGCTCACTCTCCAACAGATCATCAGGTCCCAAATACCATTTGTCTCCATTCACTCCTATCTAACACGCTCACACACGCTTGCTGGAAGTCCAAACCCCTCGCCCACAACACCTCCTTTACCCCCTCCCTCCAACCTTTTTGAGGACGACCCCTACCCCGCCTTCCTTGCCCTACAGATTTATATTCTCTCCATATCATTCTATTTTGATCCATTCTCTCTAAATGATCAAACCACCTCAACAAACCCTCTTCATCCCTCTGACTAATACTTTTATTAACTCCACACCTTCTCCTAATTTCCACACATTGAATTTTCTGCATAATATTTACACCACATATTGCTCTTAGACAGGACATCTCCACTGCCTCCAACTGCCTCCTTGCTGCAGCATTTACAACCCAAGCTTCACACCCATATAAAAGTGTTGGTACTAGTATACTTTCACATACATGACTCACGAAATCGTAATGACACGATTGCAAACAAACCATACCCTGGCCGGGATTGAACCCGCGGTCAGAGAGTCGCAAAACTCCAGACCGTCGCTACGGTCTGGAGTTTTGAGACTCTCTGACCTTGTGGCTAGCAGGTCTAGTGGCTAACGCGACGGTCTGGAGTTTTGAGACTCTCTGACCGCGGGTTCAATCCTGGTCGGGATATGGTTCACATACATACATGTACAAGCATATACGGTGGAACCTCAAAAATCGAACGTATCACATATCAAACGTTTCGAAAATAGGACCATTTTTTCGGACAAACTGTGTCCCTATTATCGAACGCGCCCCTATTTTTGGACTCCCAGGTACGGAACCTGTCTGCCGCCCGCTCTGTCCGCATCCCCGCGCAGGCGCCGTGAGCAGTCTAGCTTTGTTTATGCTTGAGTGAACATTAACCTGTGCTCTCATTCACACATTTTACGATTATTTCATTGTGTTTAGTGCTTGTGGGACTGAAATAAGCTGCTATGGGCCTAAAGAAACTTGCTAGTGGTACCCCTGTGGTAAAGAAAGTGAGAAACACCATTGATGTGAAGAAGGAAATATTACAGAAGTATGAGAGTGGTGTGAGACTTGTTGAGCTTGCCAGGTTGTATGGGAAAAACAAGTCGACCATCGGTTCTATCAAGGAAGCTGATGTTGCGAAAGGTGTTAATATAGGGAGTGGATGAGGTGCCTTCTTCAAAGATTAAGGAGATTTGTGCCAAGTGGAATGGTGTCCAAATGTTTGTGCAGAAGTACCACCCTGAGCAAGCTGAAACAAGCTATCTTCGCAACAAGTTCAGTGACAGAACCATGTCCCATTTTAGGGAAATGTTAAAGAGGCACCAGAAACAGAGGACTGTGGACATTTATTTAGTGAGACAGGGGTCAAGTGACTCTCAAGCTGGTCCTAGTGGCATTAAAAGAGAGAGAAGGGAAGTAACCCCAGAGAGGGTTTTACCTGAAGTCCTCATGGAGGGGGATTCTCCTTCCAAACACTAACCCCAACTCCCTCCCTCCCTCCTCCCTATCTTCCAGATGCCATCACCAATCTTCAATAGAGGTAAGTAAAAATGTTATTTTATATGTATTAATATACATAATTAAAAACTATAGTATTTGTTGTATGTAAAACTGTAATTAATCTCTATAAAATGTATTTTTTGTGTGAATGTTTTTGGGTTTCTGGAACGGATTAATTGTATTTCCATTATTTCTTATGGGACATGTTGCTTCGAATTTCAGACTTTTCGAATTTAGAACTAGCTCCTGGAATGGATTAAGTTCGATTTTTGAGGTTCCACTGTACATGTATATATACACACACCCCTCTGGGTTTTCTTCTATTTTCTTTCTAGTTCTTGTTCTTGTTTATTTCCTCTTATCTCCATGGGGAAGTGGAACAGAATTCTTCCTCCGTAAGCCATACGTGTTGTAAGAGGCGACTAAAATGCCGGGAGCAAGGGGCTAGTAACCCCTTCTCCCGTATAAATTACTAAATTTAAAACGAGAAACTTTCGTTTTTCTTTTTGGGCCACCCTGCCTTGGTGGGGTACGGCCGGTTTGTTGAAAAAAAAAAAATAAAGGAAATAAACAAGAACAAGAACTAGAAAGAAAATAGAAGAAAACCCAAAGGGGTGTGTATATATATGCTTGTACATGTATGTGTAGTGTGACCTAAGTGTAAGTAGAAGTAGCAAGACGTACCTGAAATCTTGCATGTTTATGAGACAGAAAAAAGGATACCAGCAATCCTACCATCACGTAAAACAATTACAGGCTTTCGTTTTACACTCATTTGGCAGGACGGTAGTACCTCCTTGGGTGGTTGCTGTCTACCAACCTACTACCTATATTGAGAAGCATATATAAAGATATATAACATACCCCTCCAAACTGCCAATATCCCAGACCCCTCCTTTAAAGTGCAAGCATTGTACTTCCCATTTCCGTTACTCAAGTCCAGTTCTGAAAGAGGGGTGTTAATGTTGCGGTTTTATAACTGTAGTGTAAAGCACCCCTCTGGCAAGACAGTGATGGAGTGAATGATGATGAAAGATTTTCTTTTTCTAGCCACCCTGCCTTGGTGGGAATCGGCCATGTGTTAATAAATAATAATAAAAAAAGTCTGGCTATATAAAAATTGCCGATTTCCCTGATTCCCTTCACTTAATATTACCCTGCTCACTCTTCAATAGCTCGTCAGGTCCCAAAAACCATTCGTCTCCATTCACTCCTAACACGCTCACACATGCTTGCTGGAAGTCCAAGCCCCTTGCCCACAAAACCTCCTTTACCCCCTCCCTCCAACCTCTTTGAGGACAACCCCTACCCCGCCTTCCTTCCCCTACAGATTTATATGCTCTCCAAGTCATTCTACTTTGATCCATTCTCTCTAAATGACCAAACCACCTCAACAACCCCTCTTCTGCCCTCTGACTAACACTTTTAGTAACTCCACACCACCTCCTAATTTCCACACTCTGAATTTTCTGCATAATATTTACACCACACATTGCCCTTAGACAGGACATCTCCACTGCCTCCAGCTGCCTCCTCACTGCAGCATTTACAATCCATGCTTCACACCCATATAAGAGTGTTGGTACTACTATACTTTCATACATTCCCTTCTGTGCCTCCATGGATAATGTGTACATGTACAGTTATATATATATGCACACCCCTCTGGGTTTTCTTCTATTTTCTATTTTCTTACTAGTTCTTGTTCTTATTTCCTCTTATCTCTGTGGGGAAGTGGAACAGAATTCTTCCTCCATAAGCCATGCATGTCGTAAGAGGTGACTAAAATGCCGGGAGCAAGGAGCTAGTAACCCCTTCTCCTGTATACATTACTAAAGTTAAAAAGAAGAACTTTTGTTTTTCTTTTTGTGCCACCCTGCCTCTGTGGAATACGGCCAGTTTGTTGGAAGAAGAAGACTTATTTGAAATAAAGTGTAAATCTACCAGATACTAATTTTAATTATGAGAACTGGAAAATATTTCATACATAAGGAGGTAATGGGCATGTGTGCATAGTTGATGAAATGCTAATTAACCCATTCACTGTCCAGACCCCCCAAATTATTGTTTTCAGTGTCCATAGTTGAAAAAAAAATTCTTCTTAAATGATAGAGAATCTTTTGCTGAAGTTAATGACACCAAAAGTACAAAATTTGATGGAAAACTTACAGAACTACACTGGTAATTTCACCCAATTTGAGTCCTATTTTAAGCTAATTCCAATGTTTCAATCAACCTCATTCTTAGCTATTTCATTAGTATGCCATCTCTTTTGTCAGTTGAGCACAAGAACCTGCCCATTCAACTCTCAGAATTACATAATAAAGTGCACTGAAGTTGGTAATTTGGACGATTTTATACAAAATGCAAAAAAATTCCAGTTTAATTTTTTTTTCCAACAAGTTGGCCGTCTCCCACCGAGGCAGGGTGACCCAAAAAGAAAGAAAATCCCCAAAAAGAAAATACTTAATCATCATTCAACACTTTCACCTCACTCATACATAATCACTGTCACAAATAACCTGCACATAGAAAAGAGGAGCTTACAACGATGTTTTGGTTCGACTTGGACCATTTACAAAGTCACACTAACGATAAGGAGAGGAGGGAGTACATATAGGCAGGAGGTGGTAGTGGTAGTAGTGGAGGTAGAAGGTACCTCCCTACTACTACCTTCTACCTCCACTGCTACCACTACCATCTCTTGCCTATATATACTCCCTCCTTCCCTCCTTTTTGTTAGTGTGACTTTGTAAACTGTCCAAGTTGAACCGAAATAACGTTGTAAGCTCCTCTCTTCAATGTGCGGGTTATTTGTGTATCATTCCAGTCACGGTATTGTGCCTTTTTTTGTTATAATCACTGTTTTTGCAGAGGTGCCCAGATGCAACAGTTTAGAAGCATATATAAACATATATAACATATCCCTCCAAACTGCCAATATCCTAAACCCCTCCTTTAAAGTGTAGGCATTGTACTTCCCCCCAGAGTTTAAAAATAGTCCAAAATAAACACTGTAGACATTCTAGGCACTAAAATATTTCCTCTGTTCATTAACCACATCCCTAACCCTCTTCTACACTATACTTGCCTGATGAGGCAGTCACAATGGAAGCATAACCCTAAGCAAGGCTGCAAGTGCAGAAAAATTTAATAAGACAGTTATAGGTATATACTGTTCACTGACAGAAATTGTGATGCAAGTATTTTGCCATTTACAGAAAGGAATCCGAGACTCTCAATAACCAACTCACGGCCTGGAAGAAACTTGGCTTGATGTTGGAGACTATTGGTGTGATGGCTTCATTAGGTCGACCATGGTTGTTGGTCGGCCCTCTGTGCCAGTGCCTACAGTGTACTCTAACTCTTGACACAGTCATTACTGAATTGTTGCAACAGCAGATACTTTCTGCAATATTACACCTGCTGCAGAAGTCTGTAGAAGAATTGGGAGAGGGTAAGAGTTGTATTTCTGTAAGATGAACTTGTATTTTGAGGCATCTCGGTTACTTACATTTTGCCATTCCTGTGTGCAAATAATGGAACATGTGTAAATAAATTAAATACAGTATATGTAGGTTAAACATAAGTTATGTAAAACTGTATGAAAGACTTTAAATGGTGTTACATTTAGTGCAGGTTTATCTTAGAAATTATTGCAATCATAAGTCAAACACATTAGGACTTCATAGTCTTTTACAATAGTAATGAGTTGGTGTACTTTATTATTAAATAATATTTTATTTGTATTTCAGATGTGAACAAAGAAATGCAGTTGAATATTGAACTGATTGTTCAGTGCATTCGTTCATCTGTGAATTCTGATACACACCGACGTGCAATGCTCATTCTTGCTTTGGCAGCCAAAATTTCGCCAGTAAGTAACATTTTTCTCTTTTACCAAACAAAGTACTTGTCCAAAATGTTTCTGAAAAAAAAAAAAACTGAGAAATACAAATCAGCATAATTCCAAGCACATTTTTCCTTAGACTCAATGTCAAAAATTTGGGAGATATTTCAAATGAAATGCAGAAAAACATTTTTTTTTTTTTTTTAATGAAGAAAAGTGACACTCCTAGCAAGCAATGAGGAAAAGATGGCCAATGTTTTACTTCTGCCTTAATAAACTAAGATATTTTAACGGTATGCCTCTGGCAAGACTGATAGTTTGAATGAAGGTGAAAAGGTTTCTTTTTCAGGCCACCCTACCTAGGCAGGAGACCTGGAGTTTACCTGGAGAGAGTTTCGGGGGTCAACGCCCCCGCGGCCCGGTCTGTGACCAGGCCAGCATGTTAAACAAAAAATTTAACCATAGTAGAATAAGGAAAGTTTTGTGTAAGAGTAACTAAAATGGCTCATTGCAGTTGATTTATATTCTGTACTGGAATAGAGAATGAAAAGTCACAGTACTGTGGCTGGAACAATCACTAAAAACCCAGCACTTAGGAGAGAAACCTTATGACTACATTTCTGTTCATCCTAGATCATTGTCAAGTTACAGTGATCCAGGACTTGACAATGATTCAAGGTGGAATGAAACATTTTCATAAGGTTCCTCTCCTAAGTGCAGACTTTTGTTGATTGTATTGGAATGTAAAATACGTAAACTGCAAGTGATGTAATGGGATTACAGACTGAACACACACGTGATATGAGGAGGTTACAAGTTAATCTCCCAGGTTTACTATAAAAGAGTGTCAGTCTAGTACAGGTGAGCCTAGCAAATGAGAAAGGAAAGAGCAAGAGACCTGTTTTATGCTGTTTACTGTCATAGTTAAATACTTCAGCCACACCAGACAAAATAGTTAAGTGTTTGAACTACAGTACAGTAGTAACATTCTTGCTCTGGGATTCCTTGTGGCTCACCTGGAATATATCATGTGTCATTCACACCAGTACTTACTTTGTCTGCTTTTTGTGGCTTGACATACTGTTGTAATGTGAGCAAGATAACTTTCATGAAGGCATTCAAGGAAACCGATGAACTGGACTTAAGTCCTGGAGGTGGAAGTACAGTGCCTGCACTCTGAGGACAGGATGGGGATGTCACCATTCAGAATCATTTGAATTGTGATGTTTTCACTCAAGCAAGACAGCTATTATTCAGATAATGGTGAATATATTTCCTATTTTTTTTTCAGTCACCCCTACCTCAGTGTAATTGAGGTTAATGCTTAATATGTTGTATATCATTTCAGGAAGTGGTGATGCACAATATGATGTCCATCTTTACATTCATGGGCACTTCTCTTCTGAGACGCGATGACTCTTATTCCTTCCAGGTTATACACCAGACTATCCAGAGCATTGTACCAGTGCTCATTAAGGTACATATGATATAGGAGTGACAACTTTCTTGTTATAATTTTTTCATTACATGTGCAGAATTTTTTTTGTTAATGAATGTTACAAGATGTGATAAGATTTCTTGTAGCATATAGATTTCATGAGTGTAGAAGAGAAGTTTTATAATGAGGTAAGATTTTAGTAAAATTTTCCTGTTTGTTGAAGAGTTGTTTTAATGATATTGATTTGTTATTCTCAGTGTGAAACTGAAGAAAAAATCTTGGTCAAACTTGCGCAAGTTTGTCAGGTGTTTGTGGATGTTCTGCCAGATATTCCAGAGCATCGCCGCTTGTCACTCTTCACACAACTTGCTTCCACTATTGATGCAAATAAAAACTTGTGGATTATCTTGGCTCTTGTGGGTAAGAAAAACTGCAAATTTAATATTTTTAAGCTCTTCTACAGGGTGATATAAGTACACAATTTTTTTCCCATCAAATCAGCTGTCTCCTACTGAGGCAGGGTGACCCAAGAAAGAAGAAACGATTTTATCATTACTGACTCCACTGTCTTTCCAGAGGGGGCACTGATACTACAGTTCAAAACTGCAAATATCCCTACCCCTTCCAGAGTACAGGCACTGTACTTTCCACCTTCAGGACTCAAGTCCATCTAACCGGTTTCCCCTGAATCCATTCATAAATGTTACTTGGCTCACACTCCAACAGCACATCAAATCATTAAAACCTCTTGCAGCCACTCAGATCTCACTCATACCAGCCTGTTGGATGCTCAAGCCTCTAGAACTCAAAACTCTTTTACCTCCCCCTAACTCCAACCCTTCCTGGAATAACCCTGCTCCTCTTTTCCTCCACCTCAGATTTATATATCCTCCTAGTCATCCTGTTTTGTTCCATCCTTTCTAAGTGCTCACACCACCTCAATACTCTTACTTCAGCTCTCTGAATTGTACTTTTTAGTAGCCTCACACCTAATCTTCACACTCTGCATTTTTTTTTTTTTTTTTTGACACATTGGCCATTTCTCACCGAGGCAGGGTGACCTAAAAAGAAAGAAAAACCCAAAAAGAAAGAAAGAAAGAACTTTCATCATCATTCAACACTTTCACCATCACTCGTACATAATCAATAGCTTAGATGCTCCTCCAAATTGCCAATATCCCAAACCCCCTCCTTTAAATTGCAGGTATTGTATCTCCCATTTCCAGGACTCAAGTCTGGCTAACCAGTTTCCCTGAATCCTTTCACAAAATATTACCCTGCTCACTCCAACACCTATCTAACATGCTTATGCATGCTTGCTGGAAGTCCAAGCCCCTCACCTACAAAACCTCTTATCCCCCTCCTTCCAACCTTTTCAGGGATCACCCTTTCCCCACCTTCCTACCCCCAACAGATTTATACATTCTCTGAAACTTTCTACTTTGTTCCATTCTCTCTGAATGACCAAACCACTTCAACAGCCCCTCTTTAGCACCTCTGACTAATACTTTCAGTAACTCCACACCTCCTCCTAATTTCCACACTACGAATTCTCTGCATAATATTTACACCACACATTGCCCTTAGATACGACATCACTTCCTCCAGCCGCCTCCTCACTGCAGCATTTTCAATCCATGCTTCACACCCATATGAGAGTGTTGGTACCACTATACTCTCGTACATTCCCTTCTTTGCCTCCATAGATAACATTCTTTGTCTCTACAGATACCTTAATGCACCATTCACCTTTTTTCCTTCATCAGTACTATGGTTAACCTCATCCTTCATAAACCCATCTGTTGACAAGTAAACTTCTTCCCCTATAATTTTTACAGTCTCTTTTGTCCTCCTTCCCTTTATATAAAGGAATTATACATGCTCTCTGCCAATCCCTAGGTACCTTCCCCTCTTTCATACATTTATTAAAAATAATACCAACTGCTCCAACTCTGTATCTTCCCCTGCTTTTAACATTTCTGTCATGATCCCATCAGTTCCATCTTTACCCTGTTTCATTCTACATAATGCCTCACACACCTCCCCCACACTCACATCCTGCTCTTCTTCACTCCTAAAAGATGTTATACCTCCTTGGCCAGTGCATGAAATTACTGCCTCCCTTTCTTCATCATCATTTAAAAGTTCCTCAAAATATTTCTGCCATCTACCCAATACCTCCAGCTCCCCATCTACTAACTCCCCTACTCTGTTTTTAACTGTCAAATCCATTCATTCCCTAGGCTTTCTTAACTTGTTTATCTCACTCCAAAATTTTTCTTATTCTCAGCAAAATTTTTTGACAGTACCTCTCCCACTCTTTCATTTGTTTTCCTTTTGCACTCTCTTCACCTTTACTCTCCATATACTCTGCCCTTCTTATATCACTTCGGCTTTGCAAAAACATCTCATAAGCTACTTTTTTCTTTCATTGCACCCTTTACCTCATCATTCCACCAATCACTCCTCTTTCTTCCTGCACCCACTCTTCTATAGCCACAAACTTCTGCCCCACATTCTAATACTGCATTTTTAAAACTACCCCATCCCTCTTCAACTCCCCCATTACCCATACTTGCACTAACCCACCTTTCTGCCAATAGTTACTTATATATCACCCTAACTTCCTCCTCCCTGAGTTTATAAACTTTCACCTATTTCTTTCTTACTGCATATCCTGTAATATTCACACAACACTTCACCCCTCAAATATGACATCTCCACTGCCTCCAGCTTCTTCCTTAATGCAGAGTTTAAACTAGTGCATTTAAGTGTTGCTACCATTATACTCCATTACATTTTTTTTTTTCTCGCAGAAGTCTAAACTCACCACCCTCCTGGGATATACTGTGTATACATTGTTGTAAGGGAGCAAAGTTCTAGTATCCCCCTTCTCCTGTATAAATTATTAAGTTTAAAATAAAAAACTAGTTTTTCTTTTTAGGTCATCCTGCCTCGGTGGGATACGACTGGTTCATTGAAAAAAAAAACTTTTTGTAAATGTTAATAATATGAATTCAAAGCCAAATACAAATATAACACTTCACAAGTGTAATAACTAAGAGAGTTGCTATTTTAATAGTCTTTGCTTAATACCATATATAGTTACATTAAATACTTAACATTTTATAAATGACATGAAAATAATTTTTTCTATGATTGTTGAACATGCTTTCAGTTTTTTTTTTTTCTTACCACAGAAGTTGAGAATTATGCTCAAAACAATGGTGCATTAAATTGTGAGAGGATTATGCACTTTTCAAGTACAATTCAAAGAAAATACTCATGAAAGCACCTGTTCAAATTTTTTTAATCTGAATCCTCAATTTTTTCCAGCTGATTCCCATGTTATGAGAGGAAGTTTAAATGATGGGTCTGGCATGAAAGAGGAAGATAGACGTGGCATTCCTCGTGACATCCAGTTTACTCTCACACTGTGTAGCCAATTCCCAGTAGTGGCTCAGGTGTTCGCTTGTTGCCAGCTGATGGAGCATATCAGTAGCTTGCCTGAGGAGAAAGGTAACTCATAAAGTATAGACTTGCTAACCCTTTGAGGGTCGACAGGTCCTCTCCGAGACTTGTTCTCAGGGTCGGCCAAATTTCAAAAAAAAAAAAAATTCTTATGAAAAGATAGAGAATCTTTTCCCAATCATAATGACACCAAAAGTATGAAATTTGATGGAAAACTTACAGAATTATGCTCTTGCGAAGTTAGCGGTCTCAATGATGTTTACGCATTGGCGATTTTGCCCACTTTGAGCCCTATTTTCAGCCAATTCCTGTGTACTAGTCAACAAAAATCATAAATATTTCTCTAGAACTCCATTTTGTCTATTGAATGAGTACAAGAAATCACCCATTTACTGATTTCAACTATCCAATACAGTGGTCAGAATTTAGCAATTTTGCCAATTTCACACAAATTTCAAAAAATGCCAATTTCCAAATAGGGTCCAGAATAAACAAGAAAGGCATTCCTAGCACTAAAATAACATTTCCTCTGTTCGTTAGTCACATCCCTAGGCCCCTCTTGTATTTCTTTGGCTTTCCACTTTGAATTTTTATTCTTACAAAAAATAAAAGATTTACTGTTATGCAGACTACTGCATTAGTGTAGAAATGGTATAAATAATATCAGCGCACTTGTGAAAGAATATTAGACTCACCAGTTGATGTGTATTGGACGCTTGGAATGATTTGTTTACTTTTGAACTTTGGTAAAAATCGAACATTTCTGCTACTTTGAGCTCAATTTCAAGGTACTTTTCATTGTAAAACCAGTCAAAATCATCTCAATTTCTGTAATATGTCTTCCATTCTATAGAATGAGACCAAGAAAACTAGAATACAATAATAAATACCATACGAAAATACAGTGCAAAGTCGCTATTTTATTCCAAAAACACAAAGTTTTTTTTCTCATTATGCACTGTGTGCTGCAGGATTTTTTTTTTATAATGCGCACACTGACCACATAGACCCATTCTTTCATATGTATGCCTACCAGCTTTCTCCCACTAGATTTGAGGGCGCTAGAATTTAGGCGTACTAGTACGTCAAAAGCCCTGGGACGTAAGCCGTACTAGTATGGCCGAAACCCTCAGAGGGTTAAATATTGTATGATGCTAAACTGGCAATTACTAAAAGATGGCTAATTCATGATCAGTCTTGATGTTAATACAGTATATTAAATATTTGTTTTTATTCTTATTTTTGTCTTTAAAGTTTTTTCTCCTGAATATTGCCTCTTTAAATGCATAAAATAGTCATCTGGAAGAAATTAGTGCAGGTACTCCTCACTTAATGACCTACCTGTTTAATGACCGCTCAGACTTACAACCAGCTCTCCAGCCAGTATGCAGACCTAAGTAATGTATATTAGAGCTGATATCTCAATTCTTTTTATTACAGTGTACAGTTCGGGCGAGATATAAGTGACTATTGGCAGAAAGGTGGGCTAGTGCAAAGATGAGTAGTCGGGGGGTTGAAGAGGGTTGGAATAGTTTTAAAAATGCAGTATTAGAATGTGGGGCAGAAGTTTGCAGTTATAGGAGGGTGGGGGCAGGAGGAAAGAGGAGTGATTGGTGGAATGATGAAGTAAAGGGTGTGATAAAAGAGAAAAAGGTAGCTTACGAGAGGTTTTTACAAAGCAGAAGTGTTATAAGAAGAGCAGAGTATGTGGAGAGTAAAAGAAAGGTGAAGAGAGTGCAAAAGGAGAGCAGATGAAAGAGTGGGAGAGGCACTGTCATAGGTGGTAAGTTACTAAATGCTGTAAAGAGCTTTTATGAGGATAGTGAGGCTCAGGTTAGGGTATGTAGAAGAGAGGGAGAATACTTCCCGGTAAAAGTAGGTCTTAGACAGAGATGTGTAATGTCACCATGGGTGTTTAACCCTTTCAGGGTCCGTCCCGTAGATCTACGGCTTTACGTTCAGGGTCCAAACCGTAGATCTACGCCATGAGCTCAGCTCACTCTGATAAACTGTGAGTGGTACATTTGGGCCTAGATATGAGAGAATACATCTATGTGGTATGTGTGCACCACATAAAACAGATCCTGCAGCACACTGTGTATAATGAGAGAAAAAAATGAAATCATGATTTTTCGATTAAAACAGCAACTTTGCAGTGTTTTTTCGTATGTTTTTTATAGTTGCATTTGCGATTTCTTGGTCTCATTTGATAGAATGGAAGACATATTACAGAAATAGAGATGATTTTGATTGGTTTTAGCACTGGAAATGGCTTGAAACTGAGCTCAAAGTAGCGGAAATGTTAAATTTTTGCCGATATTCAAGAGTAAACAAACGACCTCACACATCTAATACACGTCAACTGGTGGGTCTAATATACATTCACAAATATGGTGATGATATTTATACAATTATTACAGTATTGCATAACAGTAAATCTTCTATTTTTTGGTGTGAATAAAAATTCATTATGTGAATAAAAAATCAAAATGGAATTTATTTGTAAAGCCTCAAAACATAACTAATGAACAGAGGAAATGTTAGTTTAGTGCCAGGAATGCCTACATTGTTCATTCTGGACCCTATTTTGAAATTGGAATATTTTGAACTTTGTGTTAAATTGGCCAAATTAACAATTTCCGATCACTTTATTTTGTAGTTGAAACAGTTGACTTGGCGATTTCTTGTGCTCAATCGATAGAATAGAAGTAATACTAGTGAAATAGCTAAGAATTTGGTTGATTGGAATAATGTAATTGGCCTAAAATGGGAGTCAAAGTCGGCAAAATCGCCGATTCGTAAATATCGCTGACACATCAAAATTCGCGAGAGCATAATTTCGTCAATTTTCCACCAAATTTCGTACTTTTTGTTTTATTACCTTCACAAAAAGATTCTCTACGATTTCATAAGAAAAAATAACAAATTTTTTTTTTTGAAAATTCTTGGACACTGGTGCGTGACTCCAGATTTGGGCCTTGGACCCTGAAAGGGTTAATATATTTATAGATGGGGTTGTAAAAGAAGTAAATGCTAGGGTGTTCGGGAGAGGGGTGGGATTAAATTATGGGGAATCAAATTCAAAATGGGAATTGACACAGTTACTTTTTGCTGATGATACTGTGCTTATGGGAGATTCTAAAGAAAAATTGCAAAGGTTAGTGGATGAGTTTGGGAATGTGTGTAAAGGTAGAAAGTTGAAAGTGAACATAGAAAAGAGTAAGGTGGTGAGGGTATCAAATTATTTAGATTAAGAAAAATTGGATATCAAATTGGGGAGGAGGAGTATGGAAGACGTAAATGTTTTCAGATACTTGGGAGTTGAAGTGTCGGCGGATGGATTTATGAAGGATGAGGTTAATCATAGAATTGATGAGGGAAAAAAGGTGAGTGGTGCGTTGAGGTATATATGGAGTCAAAAAATGTTATCTATGGAGGCAAAGAAGGGAATGTATGAAAGTATAGTAGTACCAACACTCTTATATGGATGTGAAGCTTGGGTGGTAAATGCAGCAGCGAGGAGACGGTTGGAGGCAGTGGAGATGTCCTGTCTGAGGGCAATGTGTGGTGTAAATATTATGCAGAAAATTCGGAGTGTGGAAATTAGGAGAAGGTGTGGAGTTAATAAAAGCATTAGTCAGAGGGCAGAAGAGGGGTTGTTGAGGTGGTTTGGTCATTTAGAGAGAATGGATCAAAGTAGAATGACATGGAAAGCATATAAATCTATAGGGGAAGGAAAGAGGGGTAGGGGTCATCCTCAAAAGGGTTGGAAAGAGGGGGTAAAGGAGGTTTTGTGGGCGAGGGGCTTGGACTTCCAGCAAGCGTGCATGAGCGTGTTAGATAGGAGTGAATGGAGACGAATGATACTTGGGACCTGACGAGTGTGAGCAGGGTAATATTTAGTGAAGGGATTCAGGGAAACCGGTTATTTTCATATAGTCGGACTTGAGTCCTGGAAATGGGAAGTACAATGCCTGCACTTTAAAGGAGGGGTTTGGGATATTGGCAGTTTGGAGGGATATGTTGTGTATCTTTATACGTATATGCTTCTAAGCTGTTGTATTCTGAGCACCTCTGCAAAAGCAGTGATAATGTGTGAGTGTGGTGAAAGTGTTGAATGATGATGAAAGCATTTTCGTTTTGGGGATTTTCTTTCTTTTTTTGGGTCACCCTGCCTCGGTGGGAGACGACCGATTTGTTGAAAAAAAAAAAAATTAAAAATATACTAAAAATGTTACAAATGGTTCAAAGGTGACATTAAAAGAAGATCTAAAGGCAGTTGACACAAACCCACTACCAGTACAGTATGCTTACCAACCTACTCTTAGGAATGGAACTTGGTCGTTAAGTGAGGAATACCTGCATCTGGAAATCTGCATGAAAGTTTGATGCAGGTTTATACCTGATATTTAAATTTCTAGTTCTGGTATGTCATTCTCTAAAGAAGGAAAATTCAGGAATTCATGCATAATAAAGAATTTCTGTATTAGAAATATTGAGAGTACTGTACTAATTATCATTAATTATTTGGCATTTCTCAGAGGAGACAACAGGCCAGGAAAGGTCAAGAGAAAAGTATTCTCAGATAGATCAAGAGATTATATGCTGGAGTGTACATTCTGCTAGACAATTGTGTCATTTCAAGTACACAACTGCTGGTCTCATAGCACTTCTTTTATCATCAGAAGAATATGTTAGACAGGTGAGTAGTCCAAAATATGAACTGTTATAAGAATTTATTTTGTAGCAGTTCTAGTTAATTTTTAACTTAAAGCATATCATGCAGCTGAGTATCAGTCATATTTTGAATGTTCACATGGAACATCCATATTCATTTTGATGTTTCAATAAAGCATCTTGTATTTCTTATTTCTAGAGAAATTTTTATGCTAAATACTTTGATGACTTTAAGACCATTTCTCCATCCTTCCACATTTATTTATGGTTTAAAAACACCTCTTGAGAGTGCACATTATTTTCATGTGAAATAAGACACGTGTTCAGTTTTAGGATGTTTTAGCAAGGAAACATTTTGCCACAACAGGCCTTGTTTCTGACCCTGCTTTTGATGTTGACCTGCTGCAATGCAGAATTTATTTGTTCTAGAGGACATAAACAAATAACCCACGGATGGGAGAGTGAAACTTATGAAGTCGTTTCAGTCCAAACTGGGCCATTAACTAGTCACACAGAGAAGTGCAAAGGGCAGGAAGCCAGAATATATATGACAGAGGGAGGGGTGGGGCAGGAGTGATAGAACAGGAGGAGGAAATCGTATTATTGTAGTAGTAGTGGTAGTTAGTAGTAGTAACAGTGTTAATTTGTTCAAACTCCAACAGCACATCAAATCATAAAAAACCACTTCCCTCCACTCCTGTCTAATATGCTCACATAAGCTTGTTGAGTGTCAAAGCCTTCCTTACTCCTACCCTCCAGCATGTTCTTGGAGGACCTCTACCCACCCTTCTCTTTATCCCAGATTTATATACCCTACTAATCATGCTGTTGTGTACTATTCTCTCAGTATGTCCAGACCACCTCAACAACCCCTCCTCCACCCTCTGAATAATACTTCTGATAAACCCCTTGCCCTCTCCTTATCTCCAAATAACTATGCCTAATATGAATGTTTCAAATTAGAGGACATCATTCGAGCAAGTTCTGGAGGACACTGGAAGGAATCAAAGAGTGATAATCCAGGAAGAGATACCAGAATGGGAAAGAGTAACAATGCTTAGAATGTATCTGCTTGTACAGTAGTGTATTAGAAAGTTTACCAGTCTCGGTAAGACATTGCTGGCTCCCTTTTTTCATAAATCTTTTCATTCTTATATATTGTAAACACAACATTGCTTGGATATACAAATTGGCATTAGGAGTTTTGAAAAAATGGAATTTGTGGCAACAATGGGGTCTGCCCGAAATACATGGATTTAATGGGTGTTTTTGGTATCGGTTTTCTTATGGCCATGGTAAAGTGTTAAATCCACATTTAGTAAGTAAAATTATTTAGGCACACATACACATAAGTACAAATGCCATACATAGTGTAAATTACCTAGGATAACCCAAAAAAGTCAGACAAAGTGATAATTTCCATTGGGGTGACAGTTGACACTTGTCTGTTTCCTCCTCATCTCATTTTATCATTGGCAGTAATAGGAAATTTTATGTATTTTTATGTTGTATTTATAAGATTGGTGTGACAAAAAAGTCACTATCTGTTGAAAATAATTAAGTGACATTTGTTGGTCTCTTTGTGTTCATAGTTTATTTGCTCTAATGCATGAGTCAGTCATTAATGATTTTCTCTACTGTATGTAAATCTTGTATATTCTTTAGAATTTTTAAATTTGTTTCCTGCAGATTACCTAAATTTTTGTTTTAGGCATGTGAGGCCAGTGAACAAGTTGAAGAACTACAGGACCTCTACAGGCAGCTTTTGGAAAAAGCCTTGTGGTACCTGGATAGTGTAAGTCTGTTGTGTGATCAACACAAGGATAAGCCAGGAGGTGTGTATGAAAAAACATTTTACTAAGATAATCTTTATGAATATATGTGATTAGATATGTTTTCCAGGTAATGGTACAGTAAACCCTTTCAAAATGTGCAGGTTACATTCTTGAAAATCAGGGTCTTACGAAAAAAAAAGCATTACATGACATAAGTAACATGGGAAAAATAGGTTATGTTTCAGACGTCTCCAAATTACCAAACAACTTATTGTACAATATTGTACCTGGTAAAAATTACTAGTTTATTTTATGATACATTCTAGTTATTATTGCTAGTTGAAATGGAAGTGTGTGGAGAGGGATGATGTGGCCATACTAGGCTGAAGTGGATGACTGTCGTTCGTGTGTTCATGTGGATGTCGAGTTGTCACTGTGATGGTTGTACTGGAGTGTTCAGGTGTTTAGTAATTCTTCCTTCCATGCTGTGTAGAGCTGATGTTAAGATTTCATCATTTGCTCCAGACCCTGCTTCAGAACAGTGCTTCTAGATGTGTCTGGATCCTTTTCTGTGAAAGAGGCAGTGCCTTAAGTCACAAACAGATCTATCTGAGGAGAGAGGATGTGCATATACAGTGGTACCCAGGGCCGGATTACCACATAGGCAAACTTGGCATTTGCCTAGGGCCCTGCGGTCCAAGGGGTTCAGGGGCCCATCCAAGACTGTGCACATGGTGCAAGTGCAAAGGGGTCCCTACCTAAAAAGTTCAAGTGTTTGGAGAGTGAAATTGATTTTTAAAAATTAATCAAAACAAAAATAAATAATGAAATAAAATAAAATAAAAATAAATAAACCTAACCATAGATGGCAACACTCAACACGCCTTTGTGTACATCAGAACAGCTGTGTTTTCCCGCTAATGGGTGAGTATGGGAGATTCCTCTCCAATTTTCTGTAGTAATTACACGTTATCTAGACTTGTACTGTGACAAATTAACTGAAGTGTTGTTGATAGACATTGATGTGTATGGATAAATGTTTGTTTTTGCCTCTAAATGTTAAGGGAGGTACCTGATAGGGTTACTTGACCAGTACAGACGCATTTTTGGTAAAAATACTCTAAAGAAAAACCTAAAAACGCAAACTGACTTCCGTTTGTAGGTTTTAAAAGCACTTTGTCCTGTGCTGACATAGTGTATCGCCTTTACCTAACACTTCCAGCTACTAACTGTGAAGGAGAACGTTCATTTTCTGTTTTGAAAAGAGTGAAAAACCAGCTCCGTTCAACAATGAGCCAAGACAAATTGTGTAACCTAGCCTTGTTGACCATTGAGTCTGATCTAACAAGAAATATTGATTTTCAGAATATAATTGATGATTTTGCCAATATGAAATCCAGAAAAAAGTTTATTTAAGAAGTGCCTGTGAACATAAACAATTCTTTACTTTCTTGAGTTTATATGATTTGATAGTCTTATGCATGATGTAATGATAACAATAATGGTCAGTGATTTATAAAGGGAATAATAGTGCTGTAGTGGTTATGCTGAATATAATAGGTACATGATGTCACTACTTTAATAGCCTAATCTAGTAATACTATGCTGTCTTGAGTTTATTCTCTTTAAAATGCATGATTTAACAAGATAGTTATAATGGCTGTTGGTAAATGGTTTTGGTTGTCTTGATGTACTTTCACTATTAAATTTAATCTAAATAGCCAGAATGTATTTAATTAGACCTTAAACAGGCTCACACCGACCCCCTCCCCCAAGCTGGAAGGGATCGCTTCACTTACCCGTAACTCAAAGGGGCCCCGCCAATCTGAATAGCCTAGGGCCCGGAGACTTCTTAATCCGGCCCTGGTGGTACCCCGAGTTTCGAACTTAATCCATTGCAGGAGCTAGTTCTGAAGTCGAAACGTCCGAAACTCGAATCAGTATTTCCTATAAGAAATAATGTAAATCCAATTAATTCATTCCTGTTGTCAGGAGGCATGACAAAATAGTACTTCAATATGACACTATTATCAATTCTATGGCTTATTTATCTATCACAATTCATCTAATATGACATAATAAACAATATAAATAACTTAAAAACATGATATACACTCTAGAATGAATAAAATATGTTTGTCATTACATATGTGGTGACGGGGGAGGACGCAGTCGCGGGCATTCTTGCTCCAGCTATGAAAATGTCTTCTCATTCTTTCTTCCTTCAGATGTGTTACTATAAGAGAAAATGGAGTTTGTAATGCTAACTGCATTAGATCACTTCTTTCATAAGAAAACCATAATGTAGAAATGAAATGGTGTACGTACACCATTTACATACCTTGCAGAAGATAGGCTTTAAACTCTACACCTTGTGTCTGTGCTGGCATGCAGGAACACATTAAAATCATTAAGAGTGTGTTATTAGTCATGAAGATGCCATATTAATAATAATAACACAATAATAATCACACTGAGGCACATTAAATGTCGTATAAAATGTTAATATGGACATTTTGCTTAATCCATCTATGATATTTTTTCGAAATTATATAATAAACACTAAAGAGAAGTTGCAAAGGCTAGTGGACAAGTTTGGGAGGGTGTGTAATGGTAGAAAGTTGAAAGTGAACATAAATAAGGGTAAGGTGATAAGCGTATCCAACAAGTTAGGTAAAGAAAAATTGAATATCACATTGGAGGGAGGGAGTATGGAACAAGTGATGTGTTCAGATATTTGGGAGTAGACTTGTCAGCAGATGGGTTTATGAGGGATTAGGTAAACCATAGAATTGATGAAGAAAAAGGGGTGGGTGGTGCATTGAGGTGTCTGTGGAGACAAAGAACATTATCCATGGAGGCAAAGAGGGTAATGTATGAGAGTAAAATGGTACCAATGCTCTTATATGGGTGTGAAGCATGGTTGGTGAATGTTGCAGCAAGAAGGCTGGAGGCACTGAAGAGTGACAATTGAAACACATGTGCAACATCTGGGTATCTTTATTGTAGATGTTTTGCCATCCAGTGGCTTTATCAATACAGATTCTAATTTGAAGACAGTAGAACTATGTACAAAAGATAAGGTAATCAGTCCCTCAGCCTTGGAGTTGGTTTGAAGAGCACCGTAGTCATGAAGACTATGTCTACAATAAAGATACTCAGATGTTGCAAATGTGTCGCAATTTTCATCTTGTCAGTATTGTATATCATTCTTGTATATTATGCGAGGTTTCTGAAAGTGTTATCCAGAGGGCAGAGGAAGGGTTGTTGAAGTAGTTTGGACATTTAGAGAGGATGGAACAAAATAGAATGACTTGGAGGGCATAGTAAATCTGTAGTGGAAGGAAGGTGGGGTAAGGGTTGTCATAGGAAAGGTTGGAGGGGGGGTGTTAAGGAGGTTTTGTGTGCAAGGGGCTTGGACTTCAGCAAGCATGCATGAGTCTGTACCTGTGACCATTTCCTAGAGTTTTTCTGCTTTCACAGCTTGACCTGGGGTTAGGCTTTTCTGTGATTACCTGTTCAACCAGGCTGTTGCTACTCGAGATCCACTGGCCCACATATCCATCACAACCTGTTTCATCTAGCACTTGGCAGTTTTTTTCACTGGAAATTATTTTTCCATTTTCTTAAACTAATAAACATGCTTGAGCAATGAGAGGAGCAGATGAGGAGTCATGGATTTTATTATTTATTAGGAAGCCTTTCCCATTTAATGTTAAAAGTAAGGGAGTCAGCACATGATTACCTAAGTTAATGTTCCTGTTTCAGGTCGTTTGTTTTTGTCTCTGCAGCGAAAGGTTGTAGATGTTGTAGATAGTATAAATGCACTACTACCACCAAGCATGTTAATAGAAGTTGCAAAGAAACTTGTGAATTCTCAACTGCCACTTGTTCGTTGCAGAGCAATGGAAATTCTTTGTGCTAAACTTCAGCCCAATGCTAATTTCTTCAGGTATTATAGTTTTGTACTAAATGTGTATTGTCATTTATATTTTGTGCACTCAAAGATGATAGGCTATGTATGACTTGATGTACAGTATACTGTAATTCATGAAATTGAATTCACTGTAATCCCATGTCTTCCCTTTTCCTTGAGTCCTTAGTCTTCACGAGGTACATGAAGCAAATTAAAATAAAAAATTATATTCTTAGCAAATAGATCCTATGTGATTAGTTACTCATACAATATTACCCTGAGATAATAGTTTAAGCTTTATTATGTATATTTTAGTAATAAAGTACATCAAATCTTTTGAATAATCAGTTCATATGGTGATAGAATGCCAATATTCAGTGGAATTTTCCATAAGCAGACAATCTTTATGTGTCTTTAATTTTGTATATTAATATTTTTTTATTATTATCACACTGGCCGATTCCCACCAAGGCAGGGTGGCCTGAAAAAGAAAAACTTTCACCATCATTCACTCCATCACTGTCTTGCCAGAAGGGTTCTTTACACTACAGTTTTTAAACTGCAACATTAACACCCCTCCAGATTGCAGGCACTGTACTTCCCATCTCCAGGACTCAAGTCCGGCCTGCCGGTTTCCCTGAACCCCTTCATAAATGCTACTTTGCTCACACTCCAACAGCACATCAAGTATTAAAAACCATTCGTCTCCATTTACTCCTATCAAACACGCTCACGTACGCCTGCTGGAAGTCCAAGCCCCTCGCACACAAAACCTCCTTTACCCCCTCCCTCCAACCTTTCCTAGGCCGACCCCTACCCCGCCTTCCTTCCACTACAGACTGATACACTCTTGAAGTCATTCTGTTTCGCTCCATTCTCTCTACATGTCCGAACCACCTCAACAACCCTTCCTCAGCCCTCTGGACAACAGTTTTGGTAATCCCGCACCTCCTCCTAACTTCCAAACTACGAATTCTCTGCATTATATTCACACCACACATTGCCCTCAGACATGAAATCTCCACTGCCTCCAGCCTTCTCCTCGCTGCAACATTCATCACCCATGCTTCACACCCATATAAGAGCGTTGGTAAAACTATACTCTCATACGTTCCCCTCTTTGCCTCCAAGGACAAAGTTCTTTGTCTCCACAGACTCCTAAGTGCACCACTCATCCTTTTTCCCCTCATCAATTCTATGATTCACCTCATCTTTCATAGACCCATCCGCTGACACGTCCACTCCCAAATATCTGAATACATTCACCTCCTCCATACTCTCTCCCTCCAATCTGATATCCAATCTTTCATCACCTAATCTTTTTGTTATCCTCATAACCTTACTCTTTCCTGTATTCACTTTTAATTTTCTTCTTTTGCACACCTTACCAAATTCATCCACCAATCTCTGCAACTTCTCTTCAGAATCTCCCAAGAGCACAGTGTCATCAGCAAAGAGCAACTGTGACAACTCCCACTTTATGTGTGATTCTTTATCTTTTAACTCCACGCCTCTTGTCAAAACCCTCGCATTTACTTCTCTTACAACCCCATCTATAAATATATTAAACAACCACGGTGACATCACACATCCTTGTCTAAGGCCTACTTTTACTGGGAAATAATTTCCCTATTTCCTTCATACTCTAACTTGAGCCTCACTATCCTCGTAAAAACTCTTCACTGCTTTCAGTAACCTACCTCCTACACCATACACCTGCAACATCTGCCACATTGCCCCCCTATCCACCCTGTCATATGCCTTTTCCAAATCCATAAATGCCACAAAGACCTCTTTAGCCTTATCTAAATACTGTTCACTTATATGTTTCACTGTAAACACTTGGTCCACACACCCCCTACCTTTCCTAAAGCCTCCTTGTTCATCTGCTATCCTATTCTCCGTCTTACTCTTAATTCTTTCAATAATAACTCTACCATACACTTTACCAGGTATACTCAACAGACTTATCCCCCTATAATTTTTGCACTCTCTTTTGTCCCCTTTGCCTTTATACAAAGGAACTATGCATGCTCTCTGCCAATCCCTAGGTACCTTACCCTCTTCCATACATTTATTAAATAATTGCACCAACCACTCCAAAACTATATCCCCACCTACTTTTAACATTTCTATCTTTATCCCATCAATCCTGGCTGCCTTACCCCCTTTCATTTTACCTACTGCCTCACGAACTTCCCCCACACTCACAACTGGCTCTTCCTCACTCCTACAAGATGTTATTCCTCCTTGCCCTATACACGAAATCACAGCTTCCCTATGTGGTTATTAAATTAGCAGTGTCACATTAATTTTTTTTTCTTTTTGCAGCAAAGAAAATGTAAAAAGTTTAGAACCTTTCATGGCAATTTTGCTTAAGAGGGCACGGAAAAGTAAGGAACCATCAGATAACAGACAGACTGCTCTCTTTACTTTACATTTACTTACAAAATTTATGGCACCTCAAGTTTCCAATGAAGTGGTTCTACCAGTTTTATCTGCAGCAGTGGACCTCATCTGCAAAGGTTAGTGCAATGCAAATTACTTTCAGGAAAATTTTGTTTATATTTGGAAGTATGTAAACGCTTTACTATTATTGTTGAGATGATTTATACATTAAATAAGCAATATTTTTCATTTGCATCATTGCATTTTCTGTGTTCTTGTACCGATTTTCTATTTTATCATTGCTCTAGGTACTTATTCTAAAGTTCTTGTTATGATTTGTAAGGTGCAATTGCTATATTTACAGACAGACCAGTCATAGCATGCCTCTGTGTATCTAAGTTTTTAATAGAATGCCATTCTCATTTTTTTTAACACATCGACCATCTCCCACCGAAGCAGGGTGACCCAAAAAAGAAACACTTTTATCATTCAACACTTTCATCATCATTTACGCATAATCACTGTCTTTACAGAGGCACTCGGTTACGACATTTTAGATGTCACTGTCAGCAGCCAGTATCCTAGACCCCTCTAAAGTGCAGGCATTGCACTTCCCAGGACTAAAGTCTGGCAAACCAGTTGCCCTGAATCCCCCTTTCAAAGTGTAACCCTGCTCACACACTAACAGCTCGTCAGGTCCCAAAGTTCATTTGTCTCCATTCACTCCTATCTAACACACTCACACATGCCTGCTGTATGTCCAAGCCCCTTGCACACAAAACGTTTTTTACCCCCTCCCTCCATCCTTTCCTGTGACGACCCCTATCCCTCCCATCCGCTGCAGGTTTATACACCCTCCAAGTCATTCAATTTTACTCCATCTTCTCATGTATATTAAAAAAATAGGACATGGTTTTTGCCTGGGTTTTTGTGCCGTAAAAATTAAAAAAAATAATGGCTCGAGCTTAAAAATCTTCCTGTTCAGAGATTTATATAGCCTGTGGAAAGCTGCTTGCTCACTCTGACTCAGTATTAAGTATGTTGTAGTAGTAAATTTGGGCCTAGATATGAGAGAAGACATCTGTATGGTAAGTGTGCACCACATTAAACAAATACTACAGCAGTAACAAAAAAAGGCATAATAAGGTGACTGGAACATTACACAAATAACCCGCACATAGAAGAGAGGAGCTTATGATGACGTTTCGGTCTGACTTGGACCAGTGACTTTGCGGTGTTTTTTTCATGTGTTTGTTACAGTTGTATTTGCAGTTTCTTGGTCAAAATTGATAGAATGGAAGATTTTTTTTTTTTATTTTTTCAACAAGTCGGCCGTCTCCCACCGAGGCAGGGTGACCCAAAAAAGAAAGAAAATCCCCAAAAAGAAAATACTTTCATCATCATTCAACACTTTCACCACACTCACACATTATCACTGTTTTTGCAGAGGTGCTCAGAATACAACAGTTTAGAAGCGTACACATATAAAGATACACAACATATCCCTCCAAACTTCCAATATCCCAAACCCCTCCTTTAAAGTGCAGGCATTGTACTTCCCATTTCCAGGACTCAAGTCCGACTATATGAAAATAACCGGTTTCCCTGAATCCCTTCACTAAATATTACCCTGCTCACACTCCAACAGATCGTCAGGTCCCAAGTACCATTCGTCTCCATTCACTCCTATCTAACACGCTCACGCACTCTTGCTGGAAGTCCAAGCCCTTCGCCCACAAAACCTCCTTTATCCCCTCTCTCCAACCCTTTTGAGGACGACCCCTACCCCGCCTTCCTTCCCCTATAGATTTATATGCTTTCCATGTCATTCTACTTTGATCCATTCTCTCTAAATGACCAAACCACCTCAACAACCCCTCTTCTACCCTCTGACTAATACTTTTATTAACTCCACACTTTTTCCTAATTTCCACACTCCGAATTTTCTGCATAATATTTACACCACACATTTGCCCTTAAACAGGACATCTCCACTGCCTCCAACCGTCTCCTCGCTGCTGCATTTACCACCCAAGCTTCACACCCATATAAGAGTGTTGGTACTACTATACTTTCATACATTCCTTTCTTTGCCTCCATAGATAACATTTTTTGACTCCACATATACCTCAACACACCACTCACCTTTTTTCCCTCATCAATTCTATGATTAACCTCATCCTTCATAAATCCATCCGCCGACACGTCAACTCCCAAGTATCTGAAAACATTCACTTCTTCCATACTCCTCCCCAATTTGATATCCAATTTTTCTTTATCTAAATCATTTGATACCCTCATCAACTTACTCTTTTCTATCTTCACTTTCAACTTTCTACCTTTACACACATTCCCAAACTCATCCACTAACCTTTGTAATTTTTCTTCAGAATCTCCCATAAGCACAGTATCATCAGCAAAAAGTAACTGTGTCAATTCCCATTTTGAATTTGATTCCCCAAAATTTAATCCCACCCCTCTCCCGAACACCCTAGCATTTACTTCCTTTACAACCCCATCTATAAATATATTAAACAACCATGGTGACATTACACATCCCTGTCTAAGACCTACTTTTACCGGGAAGTAGTCTCCCTCTCTTCTACACACCCTAACCTGAGCCTCACTATCCTCATAAAAACTCTTTACAGCTTTTATTAACTTACCACCTATTCCATATACTTGCAACATCTGCCACATTGCTCCTCTATCCACTCTATCATATACCTTTTCTAAATCCATAAATGCAATAAAAACTTCCCTATGTTTCTCTAAATACTGTTCACATATATGCTTCAATGTAAACACTTGATCTACACATCCCCTACCCACTCTGAAACCTTCTTGCTCATCCGCAATCCTACATTCTGTCTTACCTCTAATTCTTTCAGTTATAACCCTACCGTACACTTTTCCTGGTATACTCAGTAAACTTATTCCTCTATAATTTTTACAGTCTCCTTTGTCCCCTTTCCCTTTATATAAAGGGACTATACATGCTCTCCGCCAATCCCTAGATACCTTCCCCTCTTTCATACATTTATTAAACAAAAGTTTAACTCCAACACTATATCCCCCCCTGCTTTTAACATTTCTGTCATGATCCCATCAGTTCCAGCTGCTTTACTCCCTTTCATTCTACGTAATGCCTCACGTACCTCCCCCACACTTACATTCTGCTCTTCTTCACTCCTAAAAGATGGTATACCTCCCTGACCAGTGCATGAAATTACTGCCTCTCTTTCTTCCTTAACATTTAAAAGTTCCTCAAAATATTCTCGCCATCTACCTAATACCTCCATCTCCCCATCTACTAACTCCCCTACTCTGTTTTTAACTGACAAATCCATACTTTACCTAGGCTTTCTTAACTTGTTTAACTCACTCCAAAATTTTTTCTTATTTTCATTAAAATTTCTTGACAGTGCCTCTCCCACTCTATCATCTGCTCTCCTTTTGCACTCTCTCACCACTCTCTTTACCTTTCTTTTACTCTCCATATACTCTGCTCTTCTTATAACACTTCTGCTTTGTAAAAACCTCTCATAAGCTACCTTTTTCTCTTTTATCACACCCTTTACTTCATTATTCCACCAATCACTCCTCTTTCCTCCTGCCCCCACCCTCCTATAACCACAAACTTCTGCCCCACATTCTAATACTGCATTTTTAAAACTATTCCAACCCTCTTCAACCCCCCTACTTCTCATCTTTGCACTAGCCCATCTTTCTGCCAATAGTCGCTTATATCTCACCCGAACTTCCTCCTCCCTTAGTTTATACACTTTCACCTCCCTCTTACTTGTTGTTGCCACCTTCCTCTTTTCCCATCTACCTCTTACTCTAACTGTAGCTACAACTAAATAATGATCCGATATATCAGTTGCCCCTCTATAAACATGTACATCCTGGAGCCTACCCATCAACCTTATATCCACCAATACATAATCTAATAAACTACTTTCATTACGTGCTACATCATACCTTGTATATTTATTTATCCTCTTTTTCATGAAATATGTATTACTTATTACCAAATCTCTTTCTACACATAGCTCAATTAAAGGCTCCCCATTTACATTTACCCCTGGCACCCCAAATTTACCTACTACTCCATCCATAACATTTTTACCCACTTTAGCATTGAAATCCCCAACCACCATTACTCTCAAGACACATGTGCAACATCTGGGGATCTTTATTGTAGACGTTTTGCCATCCAGTGGCTTTATCAATACAAATTCTAGGACATAACTTGAAGACAGTAGAACTATGTACAGAAGATGAGGTAATCAATCCCTCAACCTAGGAGTAGGTGCGAAGAGCACCATAGTCGTGGAGATTCTGAAGCATAAGAAAGGAGCCTGGCGCTTATATAGTAACGTCAGGTGTAGCAGATGAGGGCATAGTCACTGGTAGGCGGGATTCCCCAGTGGAAGTAGGTTCTTCCCAAGGAGATGGGTTAGTTGTAGTAACCCATCTACTACAACTACTACTACAACTAACCCATCTCTTTGGGGAGAACCTACTTCCACTGGGGAATCCCGCCTACCAGTAACTATGCCCTCATCTGCTACACCTGATGTTACTATATAAGCGCCAGGCTCCTTTCTTCTGCTTCAGAATCTCCACGACTATGGTGCTCTTCGCACCTACTCCTAGGTTGAGGGACTGATTACCTCATCTTCTGTACATAGTTCTACTGTCTTCAAGTTATGTCCTAGAATTTGTATTGATAAAGCCACTGGATGGCGAAACGTCTACAATAAAGATACCCAGATGTTGCACATGTGTCTTAATTTCATCTTGTCGGTATTATATACCATTCTTACACACCATTACTCTCACACTTGATTCAAAACTCCCCATGCATTCTCTCAACATTTCCCAAAATCTCTCTCTCTTCTCTACACTTCTCTCTTCTGCAGGTGCATACATGCTTATTATAACCCACTTTTCACATCCAATCTTTATTTTACTCCACATAATCCTTGAATTAATACATTTATAGTCCCTCTTTTCCTGCCATAGCTTATCCTTCAACATTATTGCTATTCCTTCTTTAGCTCTAACTCTATTTGAAACCCCTGACCTAATCCCATTTATTCCACTCCATTGAAACTCTCCCACCCCCTTCAGCTTTGTTTCACTTAAAGCCAGGACACAATCATCTCTTTCGTATCATTTGCACGACATCCACACACATTCAGACTTCCCACTTTGACAATTTTCTTCTTCTTATTCTTTTTAGTAATCTTTACAGCAATCCTACCATGTAAAACGATTACAGGCTTTCGTTTTACACTCACTTGGCAGGACAGTAGTACCTCCCTGGGTGGTTGCTGTCTACCAACCTACTACCTTTAAAGAATGGAAGATATATTACAGAAATAGAGATAATTTTGAGTGGTTTTAGTACCGAAAATGGCTTGAAACTGAGCTCAAAGTAGCAGAAATGTTCGTTTTTTGCCGATGTTCAAGAGTAAACAAATGACTTCACGCGTCCAATATATGTCAGCTGGTGGGGTCTAATGAGGGGCTGTTGAGGTGCTTTGGTCATTTAGAGAGAATGGAACAAAGTAGAATGACTTGGAGAGTGTATAAATCTGTTGGGAAAGGAAGGCAGGGTAGGGGTCATCCCTGAAAAGATTGGAGGGAGGGGATACAGGAGGTTTTGTGGGCGAGGGGCTTGGACTTCCAGCAAGCATGCTTGAGCGTATTAAATAGGGATGAATGGAGACGAATGGTTTTTGGGACCTGACGAGCTGTTGGTCAGCAGGGTAATATTTAGTGAAAGGATTCAGGGAAACCGGTTATTTTTATATAGTCGGACTTGAGTACTGGAAATGGGAAGTATAATGCCTGCACTCTAAAGGAGGGGTTTGGGATATTAGCAGTTTGGAGAGATATGTTGTGTATCTTTATACGTATGCGCTTCTAAACTGTTGTGTTCTGAGCACCTCTGCAAAAACAGTGATTATGTGTGAGTGAGGTGAAAGTGTTGAATGATGATGAAAGTATCTTCTTTTTGGGGATTTTCTTTCTTTTTGGGTCACCCTGCCTCGGTGGGAGACGGCCGACTTGGTTAAAAAAACAAAAAAAAAAACAAAAAAAAAAGCAAGCATGTGTGAGCATGTTATATAGGAGTGAATAGAGACAAATGGTTTTTGGGACTTGACGAGCTGTTGAAGTGTGAGCAAGGTAATATTTAGTGAAGGGATTCAGGGAAACCGGTTATTTTTATATAGCCGGACTTGAGTACTGCAAATGGGAAGTACAATGCCGGCACTCTCAAGGAGGGGTTTGGGAGCATATATATCTTTATCTTTCAATCTTTCAACACACCGGCCATATCCCACCGAGGCAGGGTGGCACAAAAGGAAAAATGAAAGCTTCTCCTTTTACATTTAGTAATATATACAGGAGAAGGGGTTACTAGCCCCTTGCTTCCGGCATTTTAGTCGCCTCTTACAAGACGCATGGCTTATGGAGGAATTCTGTTCCACTTCCCCATGAAGAATATATATTTATATATGCTTCTAAACTGTTATATCTGGGTACCTCTGCAAAGACTGATTATGTGTGAGGTGAAAGTATTTTCTTTTTGGGGATTTTCTCTCTTTTTGGGTCACCCTGCCTCGGTGGGAGACAGCCAACTTGTTGGAAAAAAAAAATAAAAGCTAAGACTAGGCAGTAGTTTGGTAGACAGCAACCACCCAGGGAGGTACTTCTGTCATGCCAAGTGAGTGTAAAACGGAAACCTGTAATTGTTTTACATGATAGTAGGATTGCTGGTGTCTTTTTTCTGTCTCACACACACACACACACAAGGTTTCAGGTACATTTTGCTACTTCTACTTACACTACACATGCATGTACAAGCATATATATACACACTCCTCTGGGTTTTCTTCTTTGTATTTTCTTACTAGTTGTTGTTCTTGTTTATTTCCTCTTATCTCCATGAAGAAGTGGAACATGCCTCGAGCAAGGGGCTAGTAACCCCTTCTCCTGTATGCATTACTAAAGTTAAAAAGAGAAACTTTCGCTTTTCTTTTTGGGCCATCCTGCCTCGGTGGGATACGGCCGGTTTATTGAAAGAAGAAGAATAAAAGCTAAGGGGAAAATACAATGGAACCTCAGTATACAACCAGCTCCCTACTCAAACAAAGGTCAGCAAATACGACCTGCCGGAACTTCGCTGTAAACTATTTTGCGTTTCTTCACATTTTTTGGTGTTTTTTGTATTTGTATAAATAAGTCGCCATGGGGCCTACAAAGATTAGTGATAACAGCCAACCAAACAGAAAGTTGGTTGGGAAGAACTTGTTCGATACTCAAATGGAGCTGCACTCGAACAACCTTCTGGAATGAATTGAGGTCGCATACTGAGGTACCACTGCACCTTAAATTACAAGGTCATTGCAGATGTGGAGAGGAGTCGGAATGCAAGTAACACTTCATTTTGTTTCCCAGAATTTATTTAGTTTCTTTTATACTGTGAATAATTTTTGTTTCCTTGCAGATACTACAGAGACGAAACTTGTAATACAGGCACTGTTGGTGGTGTCGGAGTCTGTTGTTGCTCTTAAGGCTCATGCTGTCATTCATTTAGGACAAATCATGCCTGCCATTATTAAATTTTGGAATGAGGACCAAGCTTCAGACCACTTGCTTTTGGCAACTGTCACAGCAACACACAAGGTTAGTCATTAGCTATTTTTTTTTCTGTCCCATGGACTTTCTAATATGGATAAAAATACAGGAGTTTTTACAGGAGAAGTGTATTTAGGAAAGTCTGTTTAGCATGAGACTAGGTATTGTATTTGAATTTAGGAGGATAGCCAAAGTGAGAGAATGAGCTGTGAAGAGTAGAAATTTCAATGTCAGGAAGTTGTTGATTACAAATGCAGATGGTATAGAGAAAGAGAAAACAAGAACACTTTGCTTAACAGAATGGCAGGGTAAGAAAAGTAGTGGGTGTTCATGCTATTGTACATAGGCTTGCAGTAGACAGAAAAGTAAAAACTTATCACAGAGCAGTGGACATGAACATCAAGGAAGTTTTGAGCAAGATTGTTAAGGGCATCAAGACCTGTCTTTTTCTTTTTCAGTTGGGACTTGCTGATTGAGTCTGGTAGTGTTCCTAGTAAATCATCAGACCCTTGATATCTTCCACTGCACTGTGATCTGTAGTTTGTGGTTTAGTTAAAGTACTGATTGGTATTTTTCAGATTTTTATTACGTGCCTGAAACTGAACTCTTGAAATCTTCTTATGGTTGGCACCCATGATTGTACATATATTTTGTTGTGTGGTGCTCTTATGTAGTACTGTGCTCCTGGTTTCACGGAGGTTAATAATCCTTGATACCTTTTACTGTATGGCTAAATTGACTTTCTTTTATTCAAATGTGTATATAGTATACTGTTTTAGAAAATATGAATGGAGTTAAGAATTTTATATTTACTAGTTATGAAGCTTATCAGCTCGTAAGGAAATGGAGTTGTTGATTTTTTTAAATCAGAATAAATGGCAAATATAAATTTCATTTACCAGCATTATATTTTGCTATTTCTTTTTGTTTTTTTTTTTTTTTGTTTAGTAAAATTTAGTGCACTTGTTTTATTTTCTAATAAATACAGTATTGTACTGACAAAAATCTCATACAGTGTTTTATATTTTTTGTAATTCTGTATCAATAATTGTGTAATTTCAAGTCTTACTCTGATACTCTTGATCTTCTACAGCTGCTTGAGAATGTGCCACAGTTTCTTTCACCATATCTAGAGCCACTGGTGTGTTGTGTGTGCTGCCTCTCTTCTCGTAAGGAAAATGGTTCTGTTAAAGAATCTCGGCTTATTATGAGGCTAAGCATAGTCCAAGACACATTGGTCAAACATGTCGAGCCTCGGGTGCTCATTCCTATGATGATGGAGGTAAGTTGGTATCATTAGTGCTTTATTGTTAAGATTTAGTCTTTATCTAAAGATTATCACAAACATTTTTATACGCTACCTTTTATGGTTAGTATTTTTATTTATCTGTAATATTTGTTTACTATCTCCATGGGGGAGTGGAACAAAATTCTTTCTCCGTAAGCTATGCATGTCATAAGAGTCAAATAAAATGCCCGGAGCAAGGGGCTAGTAACCCCTTCTCCTGTATACATTACTAAAGTTAAAAAGGGAAACTTTTGTTTTTCTTTTTAGGCGACCCTGCCTCAGTGGGAAACGGCCAGTTTGTTGAAAGAAAGAATTTGTTTACTCTACCTAGAAATTGTAAAAAGAGATTGTAAAAATTATAGGGGAATATGTTTACTGAGTTATAGGTAGTAGGTTGGTAGACAGCAACCGCCCAGGGAGGTACTACCGTCCTGCCAAGTGAGTGTAAAACGAAAGCCTGTAATTGTTTTACATGATGGTAGGATTGATGGTGTCCTTTTTTCTGTCTCATGAACATGCAAGATTTCAGGTATGTCTTGCTACTTCTACTTACACATAGGTCACACTACACATACATATACAAGCACATATATACACACCCCTCTGGGTTTTCTTCTATTTTCTTTCTAGTTCTTATTCTTGTTTATTTCCTCTTATCTCCATGGGGAAGTGGAACAGAATTCTTCCTCCGTAAGCCATGCGTGTTGTAAGAGGCGACTAAAATGCCAGGAGCAAGGGGCTAGTAACCTCTTCTCCTGTATATACTATTACTAAATGTAAAAGGAGAAACTTTCATTTTTCCTTTTGGGCCACCCCGCCTTGGTGGGATACGGCCGGTGTGTTGAAAGAAAGAAAAGATGTTTACTGAGTATACAGGTAAAGTGTATGGTAGGGTTATTATTGAAAGAATTAGAAGTAAGACAGAAAGCAGGATTGCAGATGAACAAGGAGGCTTTAGAATGGGTAGGGAATGTATAGATCAAGTGTTTACATTGAAGCATATATATAAACAGTATTTAGATAAAGGTAGGGAAGTTTTCATTGCATTTATGGATTTAGAAAAGGCATATGATAGAGTGGATAGGGCAGCAATGTGGCAGATGTTGCAGTGCATGGAATAGGTAGTAAGTTACTAAATGCAGTAAAGAGTTTTTATGAGGATAGTGAGGCTCAGGTTAGGGTGTGTAGGAGAGTGGGAGACTACTTCCTAGTAAAAGTAGTTCTTAGACAGGGATGTGTAATGTCACCATAGTTAACATATTTATAGATGGGGTTGTAAAAGAAGCAAATGTTAGGGTGTTGAGGAGAGTAGTGAGATTAAGTTAGGAGGAATCAAATACAAAATGAGAGTTGACACAGTTACTTTTTGCTGATGATGCTGTGCTTTTGGGAGATTCTAAAAAAAAGTTGCAAAGGTTAGTGGACAAGTTTGGGAGAGTGTGTAAAGGAAGAAAGTTGAAAGTGAACATAGATAAGAGTAAGGTGATGAGGGTATCAAATGATTTAGATAAAGAAAAATTGGATATCACATTGGAGAGAGGGAGTATGGAAGAAGTGAATGTTTTCAGATATTTGGGAGTTGATTTATCAGCAGATGGGTTTATGAACGATGAGGTTAACCATAGAATTGATGAAGGAAAAAAGGTGAGTGGTGCATTGAGGTATCTGTGAAGACAAAAAATGTTATCCATGGAGGCAAAGAATGGAATGTACGAGAGTATAGTGGTACTAACACTCTTATGTGGGTGTGAAGCATGGGTTGTAAATGTTGCAGTGAGGAGAAGGCTGGAGGTAGTGGAGATGTCCTGTCTAAGGGCAATGTATGGTGTAAATATTAAGCAGAGAATTCGTAGTGTGGAAATTAGGAGGTGTGAAGTTACTAAAAGTATTAGTCAGAGGTGCTGAGGAGGGCCTGTTGACTTGGTTTGGTCATTTAGGGAGAATGGAACAAAGTAGAGTGACTTAGAGAGCATATAAATCTGTAGGGGAAATTAGGAGGTGTGGAGTTACTAAAATTATTAGTCAGAGGTGCTGAGGAGGGGCTGTCGACTTGGTTTGGTCATTTAGAGAGAATGGAACAAAATAGAGTGACTTAGAGAGCATATAAATCTGTAGGGGAAGGAAGGCGGGGTAGGGGTTGTCCTCAAAAAGGTTGGAGGGAGGGGGCCTGGACTTCCAGCAAGTATGCGTGAGCATGTTAGATAGGAGTGAATGGAGATGAATGGTTTTTGAGACCTGAAGAGCTGTTGGAGTGTGAGCAGGGTAACATTTTGTGGAGGGATTCAGGGAAACTGGTTAACCGGACTTGAGTCCTGGAAATGGGAAGTACAAGGCCTGCACTTTAAAGGAAGGGTTTAGGATATTGGCAGTTTGGAGGGACGTCTGAACTGTCATATATGAGCGCCTTTGCAAAGACAGTGACAATGTATGAGTGATGGTGAAAGTGTTGAATGATGATGAAAGTTTTTCTTTCTTTTGGGGTTTTTCTTTCTTTTGGGCCACCCTGCCTCAGTGGGAAACAACCAACATGTTAAAAATAGAAAAAAGGTTTAATTTTCAGTTTTATCTTTTTAGATACTTGCCACACATTAAAACCTTGTCTATTTGATGGCTGTAATAGTTACATCAATTGTGTGGAAGCATTATTTTTTTTTATTTTAGTTCATGAGATGGGCTTGTAGAATTTTTCTTCTTTTTTGCTAATTCAATATTGATTACAAAAACGGGAAAAATATTATAGACAATTATGATTGTATTACATTGTGCAGTAGATGAAAGTTAATAGTTTTTTTATACACTATCCATCTTCCACTAAGGTAGGGTAAATGTAGAAATCAATAAGTTTTTCTTTTTTAAAGGCTTGCATGTAAGTTGCAGTTTTTTCCTATTTCTTTTCCTATATTTATCCCACTCCATTCTTATTAGTGCCTGCTTGGGTAAGCCTCAGCCTTTTAGCATGCTAAAGCTGGTCAGTTACTTATTCCTTACACAACTAAACAACAAAATGAAGATGAATTCTCAGGTAATTTTCAGTTCATCTTGGACTGTTGTCATGCTTTATATGTGATAGTCAATGCATCAAGTGGAATTCTTCAGCAAATGTTTCTAGGGCTTCAAAAGTCATCATTAAAAGTTAATTGAAATATCAAAAGAAGATTGTGTGTGACTTTATCCTCAAGGAAGGTTAGGGTTCAAGTGAAAATGAGATAGAGAAAATATATTCATCTAAACTTGATTAATAATTTTAGTGTTTATAACTATTAGGACTTCTTTTCTTTTTTGCACAGGCATATAAGACATTGTCTAAAATAGATGTCACAGCCTTGCAGACTTTCATGGCTTTGGTAGACACACTTATTACTCACGTTGACGGAAAAACTCTGACAAGCCACAAGCCTGCACTGCTTAGTCTTTTCACAGAAGCAATGGACCTTAGAACACAAAAGGTAATGACTCAAATGTGTTTTACATTTACAGGAATAACTAAAGAAGAGATATAATAAAGATAACTAAATAATTGTTAAAATTATTGATTATTAATATAATTGGATAGGTACACCACTTTTTTTGTTTCAAGAATGTGGAAGGGGTAATTTTGGAGCTTGTGTAAATAGATTATTGTTTCTAAAGTTAATAATTAAGTATAGATTTTATATGCTTTTGTAATATAAAATTATGCATCTTCACAATACCAAACTGCACTTTGAAGAATCTACAATCAGTCTGTTTTCAGTACAGTGGTACCTTGACTTACGAGTTGAATTCGTTCCGTGACCGATCTCATAACTCAATTTGCTCATATATCGAATAATTTTCCTCATTGAAATTTTATTAGTCTTTTCCAGCCCCCCAAAAAACCACCCCAGTTTTTTATTACAGGTTTTTATTTTTTTTTTTTTTTCAACAAGTTGGCCGTGTCCCACCGAGGGAGGGTGACCCAAAAAGAAAATACTTTCATCATCATTCAACACTTTCACCTCACTCACACATAATCACTGTTTTTGCAGAGGTGCCCCAAAACACAACAGTTTAGAAGCATATACGTATAAAGATACACAACATATCCCTCCAAACCGCTAATATCCTGAACCCCTCCTTTAGAGTGCAGGCATTGTACTTCCCATTTCCAGGATACAAGTCCGGCTATATAAAAATAACCGGTTTCCCTGAATCCCTTCACTAAATATTACCCTGCTCACACTCCAACAGATCGTCAGGTCCCAAATACCATTCGTCTCCATTCACTCCTATCAAACACGCTCATGCATGCCTGCTGGAAGTCCAAGCCCCTCGCCCGCAAAACGTCCCTTACCCCTTCCTTCCAACCTTTTCGAGGACGACCCCTACCCCGCCTTCCTTCTCCTACAGATTTAAATGTTCTCCATGTCATTCTACTTTGATCCATTCTCTCTAAATGACCAAACCACCTCAACAACCCCTCTTCAGCCCTCTGACTAATACTTTTATTAACTCCACACCTCCTAATTTGCACACTCCGAATTTTCTGCATAATATTTACACCACACATTGCCCTTAGACAGGACATCTCCACTGCCTCCAACCGCCTCCTCACTGCTGCATTCACAACCCAAGCTTCACACCCATATAAGAGTGTTGGTACTACTATACTTTCGTACATTCCCTTCTTTGTAGATGAATGGTTCAAAGAACCGACATGTTGCTAAATTAGACACGTGTGCAACTCTTGGGTATCTTTATTGAGGAAACGTTTTGCCACACAGTGGCTTCATCAGTCCATACATAGGAGAAACTTGAAGAACAGGAGGATAATGAGGTAATCAGTCCCTCAACCTTGAGTCGATGTGGTCAGTCCATCAATCTTGAATAGAATACGGCATATGAGCGGAGAAGCAGCTTATAAACCGTATGGCAGGAGAGGTGCAGCAGTCGTAGGTGGTGTCACATTTGTTCAATGTGGAAGTAGGTCATGCCCAAGGGTTAGGCAAGCGATGAATTCCCAAGTATTAAGATCCCAAGAAGTTGCAGTGTCTGACAGGATTGTAGATGAATGGTTCAAAGAACCGACATGTTGCTAAATTAGACACATGTGCAACTCTTGGGTATCTTTATTGAGGAAACGTTTCGCCACACAGTGGCTTCATCAGTCCATACATAGGAGAAACTTGAAGAGCAGGAGGAGAATGAGGTAATCAGTCCCTCAACCTTGAGTCGATGTGGTCAGTCCATCAATCTTGAATAGAATACGGCATATGAGCGGAGAAGCAGCTTATAAACCGTATGGCAGGAGAGGTGCAGCAGTCGTAGGTGGTGTCACATTTGTTCAATGTGGAAGTAGGTCGTGCCCAAGGGTTAGGCAAGCGAAGAATTCCCAGGTATTAAGATCCCAAGAAGTTGCAGTGTCTGACAGGATTGTAGATGAATGGTTCAAAGAACCGACATGTTGCTAAATTAGACACATGTGCAACTCTTGGACTGATGAAGCCACTGTGTGGCGAAACGTTTCCTCAGTAAAGATACCCAAGAGTTGCACATGTGTCTAATTTAGCAACATTCCCTTCTTTGCCTCCATAGATAACGTTTTTTGACTCCACATATACCTCAGCGCACCACTCACCTTTTTTCCCTCATCAATTCTATAATTAACCTCATCCTTCAGGTCTCCCTCAACATTCACATTTTCAACTTTCGCAGGCTTCACACATTCGCGAATTTCCAACCTCCAAATTCTCAACCGCCAAATTCCCAGCCGCCAAATCATATTTTAAGTTTCCCGTCACCCGTGAGTCCCTACTACCCTCCCTCCGACCCCCATGACTGGCAGCCAGCCATCTCACCACTCAGTGTGGTGAGCGTTTTGTTCATTATTTGCTATTAAACTACAGTATTAATAATGTCAACCCATTCATGACTGAATATTGGAATGGCTATTTGGACAGGTATTGGATGGTGACATCACATGTTTACTCTTGAACACAAAGAATCAAACATTTCTGCTACTGCTAATAATAATAATAATAATAATACAATAGAATTGAAGGAAATAGTACAAAAATACGAGGATTGAAGCAGTGATGGAAGAAGTGGTTGATGCATTGTTAGTCAGTGTGCCTTTGTTTATGCTGGAGTGAGCATTAGTCTCCACGCTCTTCCAAACATTTCACAATAATTCATTGTGTTCGGTGCTTGTTGATTGAGTGCGACTGGAGTGGTAGAGGCAGCGGTTGAGGCAGTGGTTGAGGCTGCGGTTGAGGCTGCGGTTGAGGCAGCAGTTGAGACAGTGGTATTTAATAAGATTTTTTTTTTCAACAAACCGGCCGTATCCCAACAAGGCAGGGTGGCCCAAAAAGAAACACGAAAGTTTCTATTTTTAAATTTAGTAATATATACAGGAGAAGAGGTTACTAGCCCCTTGCTCCCTTAATAAGATTTTTTTTTTTTTTATTATCACACCGGCCGATTCCCACCAAGGCAGGGTGGCCCGAAAAAGAAAAACTTTCACCATCATTCACTCCATCACTGTCTTGCCAGAAGGGTGCTTTACACTACAGTTTTTAAACTGCAACATTAACACCCCTCCTTCAGAGTGCAGGCACTGTACTTCCCATCTCCAGGACTCAAGTCCGGCCTGCCGGTTTCCCTGAATCCCTTCATAAATGTTACTTTGCTCACACTCCAACAGCACGTCAAGTATTAAAAACCATTTGTCTCCATTCACTCCTATCAAACACGCTCACGCATGCCTGCTGGAAGTCCAAGCCCCTCGCACACAAAACCTCCTTTACCCCTCCCTCCAACCCTTCCTAGGCCGACCCCTACCCCGCCTTCCTTCCACTACAGACTGATACACTCTTGAAGTCATTCTGTTTCGCTCCATTCTCTCTACATGTCCGAACCACCCAACAACCTTCCTCAGCCCTCTGGACAACAGTTTTGGTAATCCCGCACCTCCTCCTAACTTCCAAACTACGAATTCCTCTGCATCATATTCACACCACACATTGCCCTCAGACATGACATCTCCACTGCCTCCAGCCTTCTCCTCGCTGCAACATTCATCACCCACGCTTCACACCCATATAAGAGCGTTGGTAAAACTATACTCTCATACATTCCCCTCTTTGCCTCCAAGGACAAGTTCTTTGTCTCCACAGACTCCTAAGTGCACCACTCACTCTTTTTCCCTCATCAATTCTATGATTCACCTCATCTTTCATAGACCCATCCGCTGACACGTCCACTCCCAAATATCTGAATACGTTCACCTCCTCCATACTCTCTCCCTCCAATCTGATATTCAATCTTTCATCACCTAATCTTTTTGTTATCCTCATAACCTTACTCTTTCCTGTATTCACCTTTAATTTTCTTCTTTTGCACACCCTACCAAATTCATCCACCAATCTCTGCAACTTCTCTTCAGAATCTCCCAAGAGCACAGTGTCATCGGCAAAGAGCAGCTGTGACAACTCCCACTTTGTGTGTGATTCTTTATCTTTTAACTCCACGCCTCTTGCCAAGACCCTCGCATTTACTTCTCTTACAACCCCATCTATAAATATATTAAACAACCACGGTGACATCACACATCCTTGTCTAAGGCCTACTTTTACTGGGAAAAAATTTCCCTCTTTCCTACATACTCTAACTTGAGCCTCACTATCCTCGTAAAAACTCTTCACTGCTTTCAGTAACCTACCTCCTACACCATACACTTGCAACATCTGCCACATTGCCCCCCTATCCACCCTGTCATACGCCTTTTCCAAATCCATAAATGCCACAAAGACCTCTTTAGCCTTATCTAAATACTGTTCACTTATATGTTTCACTGTAAACACCTGGTCCACACACCCCCTACCTTTCCTAAAGCCTCCTTGTTCATCTGCTATCCTATTCTCCGTCTTACTCTTAATTCTTTCAATTATAACTCTACCATACACTTTACCAGGTACACTCAACAGACTTATCCCCCTATAATTTTTGCACTCTCTTTTATCCCCTTTGCCTTTATACAAAGGAACTATGCATGCTCTCTGCCAATCCCTAGGTACCTTACCCTCTTCCATACATTTATTAAATAATTGCACCAACCACTCCAAAACTATATCCCCACCTGCTTTTAACATTTCTATCTTTATCCCATCAATCCCGGCTGCCTTACCCCCTTTCATTTTACCTACTGCCTCACGAACTTCCCCCACACTCACAACTGGCTCTTCCTCACTCCTACAAGATGTTATTCCTCCTTGCCCTATACACGAAATCACAGCTTCCCTATCTTCATCAACATTTAACAATTCCTCAAAATATTCCTTCCATCTTCCCAATACCTCTACCTCTCCATTTAATAACTCTCCTCTCCTATTTTTAACTGACAAATCCATTTGTTCTCTAGGCTTTCTTAACTTGTTAATCTCACTCCAAAACTTTTTCTTATTTTCAACAAAATTTGTTGATAACATCT